TGGGTGCATATGGTACTGAGCTCGTTTGCAGCTGAGTTGTAATGCCTAAAGGCCACCAGAAAGCTCCAGATACTCAATGAGCCTTGTATGCTTGGCTAAGGCATGTCTTCCACCATTGTCACATCATTATATCTAGATGAAAGGGCTTTGACACTTTGCTTAGGACTTCACACAACTGCAGAAATAGGATCTGAAGGGGAACTTCTGCATCAGGAGGGTGCTTCACCTCCAAGCAGCTCCTGCATGTCATGCCATGATGATTTCAGCTGCTCTCTATGAAACTATTCTTTGTTTAGGTTTGCTTAGTCTTGGATCTGAGTCCCCTGTGCTGGATTCTGTGTAACGCAGGAAAAGATGGCTCACTAACAGGGTATGAAACAACCAGGACTATGCAAAGATGAGAATACAGCTTTGCCTGAACAGGATGGGCTTTGGTGCCAAAGCTTTTTCAGTGGGTTTAAGTGTTGCTCAGCTTTTCCAGGTGGTAAAGAAGCACTTTAAGGTGAAAATTGATGGCTGCTCAAGCCAATAACTTTGCCTACCTTTCAGGTGAGCTTCTCCCACAGGTGAAGGTGATAATATAGGGGAAGGTATGCTGGTGTTTGCTTATAGGCTACAGCTAAAACTTGGAGGAAGATTAGGGTTGAGACATTTGTTCTGTTCCTTCTCTTGCCTCAGTTATCTTAAATCAGATCAGGGTATAGGTGAATAAACTTAGTGCCTCTTTGAGCCATAGAGAATAGCTAAAGACTTACAGTTAGACAGAATTCTTGCATCTTGTGGAGAGTATTTCTATTCCCAGGAGTCTTGGTAATTTTTTGGTGTTGTTGATATCTGGTAGTATGTGTTGAGCTGATTGTCTAATGATAAAGTGTCCCTGGTTGTTTGATAGCTCTGTATCTCACAGACTTGAATGGATTTTGTTTGTTTGGGATTTTTTGGTTTGGTTTGTGGTTTTGTCATGTTTATAAGAAGAATTTAATAAATGGGGAGCCCAGTCAAAGGTAAGTGAAGTTCAAGACTACATGGAGCTGGTAAAGCAGGAGCTCAGCTGTGGTTTCACAAGTTCATCCTTATCAGCAGCTTGGTAGAGATCACTAGAGAATGAATAGCTAGATGAACCATGAGTTAAGGAGAAGAGGGATGCACAATAACATGTAAAGCTGGTCACTTCAAACTGTGAATGACTTTTGGTTTGAGGAACTCACTCTAATGCTGTTCATGCTCAAGCTGCCCTTGACAAGAATAAAAAACTTCTCTTCCAGGTTGCAATGTAGCAATTTTTTGCCTGCCCTAAATTCACTTGATTTTAACTTAATCACTCTGTATTTTTAATGTTTCTGTGAGACTTACATGTTGCTGGCTCAGCACTAATCGTGAGAAGTTGAAAGAATTTAATCGTACTGTGTAGCTCAATGCCTTATGATTTATTATTAAGAATAAAGACAAGCACTCCACTATTTTATCTCTAATGTGCAGTTAACTGAATTCCTAATCCTCTAAAGAGATGGTGCTATTCCCAACAGTTTGGTTTCTGCCTTGCTTTCAAGTTGCACACAGAACTTAAAAGCTGAAATGCTCAGTGCTGAGAAAGTAAATGTAGAAGTCAGTCTTCATTAGCTTCTTCTAAACATGCAGGGAGAGAAGTTTTATTTTTACTGGAGTGCTTAGCTGAAATTAATGCTTAGCAGGCTGCTTTGCTGTTCCTCTTGTGCTTGTAATGGCCACTGACTGATGGTGCAGTGCAAACAAATACCCACAGACTCAGTGTTGGCTTAGTTCCCTGCTTTAAATCTTGGTGAATGCCTAAAATACCTGTTCCTCCAGGGCTGCAGTTCTTTTCTTAGTCTGGCTGCCGCCTCCTTCCCATTTTCAGAATTCTTCACTAGGTCTGAATAGTCACTGAGGGCATGTGGGATGTGGTACAAGTTAGTAAGCTCTTGCAAGCAATCATTACAATGATGGCTTTCTTACTTTTCAGTGTATAATTCTCTGAGGATACAGTGCAGTGTCTTTACCAAACAGTTTAATAAGCTTCCTCTGTGGAATTTTGGCATTACTGTGTTTTTACTTGTGGAAATACATGCATTTTCATTCCTGTTCACTCTCTCTCTGTGCTACAAGCTCTCAAACTGCCAATGTAACATCTGTTCTCAGGTGAAGGTTTCAAACTGCACATAGTCCTCTAAATCTCAGAATTTAGAAGGTTTCATTGTTTTCATTGCCCCTTTCACTTGGGTATGTTTAATTTTAGCCTCTCAATCTTCCTGTTTCCCTAGTACCCATCACATTCACCTTACTCCACTCAGCTAATGGGATTAACATCACACTTAGTGAATGTATTGTATAGTATCGATTTGGTCATACCAATCTTTCCCTCTTAACCGTAATCTTGCATTTTCTGTGGCCTCAAACCAGCCTTACTAAATGCCCCTCTTGCTTTTTGACTTCATATAAAATCACAACAGTGATGAAAAGCCCTGAAGCTGATCATGCTCTGTGCCCACAGTGCCTTTGCTGACTTAAGAAGCACTGAAGTCTAAGGGAAAGGTGTTGGATAATGCTCCCACGCCCCTTAATAGCTGCTTGATGCTATATAAATGACTTCCCAAAATCCGAGCCTTGTGTTTCTGCAAGTGGTTAGTCACTTGGGTGCTTAGCTTGGTACCTTTTGGGGAGGTTAAATACCTCAAATATTTGCTTGCCTGTGCTTACTCTTCAATTTTCAAACTTCTGGCAAGAGCTCTACATCCAGATTCCCTGGTGACCTGTGTAAATCTCTGTCTAAGTGCCTGAAGCATATAAATCTTAAGCTTTCTTACAGTCAAACATTTGCAATGCAGCAGAGTCAGATTCACTGAAATTAGCAGCAGCTTTCCACAAATTGTGGCAAAATAGTGTTGATACTCTCTGTAAAGAAAGTCTTTTGTTTGTTAACAGTCAGATGTGCAAGTTCATGTATATATGGACTCTGCAGTTTTAAGCTTCATGTGTATCTTTATTTTGCTTCCTGGAAAAGCACATTCAGTATGTGGACTGCATTCTATAAAAGCCAGAAATTATGCCCTGGGCTGGACAGTGATTTTCACAGCTTCTCCTCAGGTGAGCTGAGGCTTCCTCCTACCTAACCTGCCTTTGCTTCAATCTGTGTGGCTGTGAACATGGGTGAGGCTCCATCCATCCTGCCCCAGCAGAAGCCTTGTGCACTGTGCAGAGAAGAGGGTGTCCAAAGCTGATCCTTTGCAAAGAGGGATTTATTCTTGGGATCCTGGCAGTTCTCCCGTCTTCTCCAAAACAGTACTTCAATAATGACTTATTTTGGTACAAGGGAAATGGGAAACAAAATGCTCTGCCTGCCCCTTTTTGCTGTTGAGACAGCAGTTTGGAAATAGGGCTTGCCCTAACTCAAACTGCCTGTACAGTCCAGAGCAGATGCTGCTCTGTGCACACACACAGAGTACAGCCTCGGGTGTAGGCAGATTCATTTTCTGTCTTGCTCTGCAGTTGTCTCAGAGTTTTAAAGAACATTTTCATTATACCATGGCAGCTGTAAGACACTTCCTCTGTTTGACGGCTCTATGCCAGCTCACTACTCTCATCACACAGATGAGTTTCTCTTTCATGTTCAATATCAACATTTCACTTTGCTGAGATACAGAGCTGCAGGGTAAGCAAGGAGAGGACAGCCGTAGAAAGTAACAGGGCGTAAACATGAGGCGGGTGTGGATGCTGTCACAGGGTTACCAAAAGAAGATGTGATTGTGAGGGGACTTTTTGGTGCTGTTTGACATTACATTGACTTAAATTTTAATTCGTTCCTTACATAGAATACTCCTGAGACTAAAACCACAACCCACGACAGGAAGTTTCTTGTGGTGTTTTGTTGTCTTTTGCTTGTGCTGGTGGGGAGTCATGGCCTCCAAATCTCTCTGAAGACTGTCTGTGGGGTCTGTGCTTTCCATGTTCAGAGCCTGGTCAGTGTCCTACCTCCTGCAGGAGAAGAAATGGAAGTTATGTAATCTCTGTGGAGGCAATTGTGCATTGGGCATTTCAACCCTAGTGTTCTAAAGTTTGTTACTGGCATCACTAGACAGAGAAGTTGTCTCTGCTAAATGGCATTGCATTGTAGTGAATAGCTTTGTCCTAAAAACTGAAAGATGAATTAGGTTTTGCTTCTCACAGTAGCTTCTCTAGAATTTAAGTCATGCTTGGCAAGTACCTAAGGGGCATGGACATCCTCTGGTATCATTTAGCACTGGCCATGACAGTTGAGTATTCCTTCATCGCATGTTTAGTTGTACAAAACTAACAGCTAGCGTATGGCTAGTACCAACTAGGCAAACAGGAGTACATCGTGGTTTGGATACAGAGCTGTTGCCTTCTTGAAGGTATGCAACAATGTAATCAGCTACAGGAACATAACCAGTTCCTGGGGGCCCACTCCTGAGTGTGCTCTGCAAATGGACTTGACTGAGTTGCAATGATGCTAATTATGGACAATGGTGCCACTCAGTGCAAGGTGAGGTTAAAACTCCTGAGTGCAACATACCTTAGAGCATTAACATTTTCGTAATGTCAGAAGGCCATCTTATTTATGGTTTTATCTTCACACAAGACTTGAAATGCACCTTCCTGCAAGCAGGCAGCTGATGACATGTCTGAACCCAACCTACAGTGGGAAGAACAATTGAAATGTGTCTGGTGGACCTTTTAGGTTGATCATGTTGTGATCTGGCACAAGTGCTCCTGTTGTGAAGTTACATGTTAGTCTTTAAATACTACCTGAGGAGGAGTTTCCAGGAGGAAAGGTTCTAGGTGGGCTTCTGGTCTTCAAAAGCCATGAAGCCAGTTGAATACTAGAAGTGGTGGCACACTGTGCTCTTGTTAGAAGTGATTCTGTTAATAAAAAGTAATATGTTCTTACATCCTTAAATATTAATAGCTAAATTTATGAGTATGAAACATGATTCTGAACCATCAAGTTGTTTTTTTCCTGGCAGTGTTTGCACGCTGACAGTTCAGAAGAGCAGCAAATATCTTCAACTATTTATTTAGAAATAAAATTGGCTATAGACAGAGTAATGCTGCTGAGAATTGGGATCCAGTTATGAGATGCAGCAAAAGAGACTGACAAGAACAATTCACTGAATGGGATCTTGGAGGGAAAATGTGGTGCTGCAGTGATAACTTGTACCATACAATACAATTTTCATCCTAAGATGCTTCCTCTGGGGGTGAGATACATGTTTTAGTAAAATATATGACTTTATTTCATGATGTTTTGGGTGGAAAGTGGGTAAAGTTTGAAGTTCTATATTAAGAGTGAGTTGAAGTCATTTAAACTGCATCCCATGTGTCAAATTCTCTTCACACTGTAGGCACAGTACTTGTCCAATTCTATTTAACTTGCCCTCAAGCCTCTCGTATGAATTCCTGCTGAAGTATAATACTATAATTACTATCTGTTTTTAACTAGGTAAAAATGACCCATCAATACCTAATAAATGGAGATAATGAAATATTTTATTCATGTTTTCTGAAAGCTTCAGTTATTTCTATTTGGATATCAATTAGAGTTTGCTTTTAAACAGAATTCGGAGTAGTAGCATTCAATTCAGTTCCTCTAAATTAGATGGCAGTATGTTTCACTTATAAATTGGGTGTGATTACTTAAAATCAGTTTAAATCAATAAGTTTGTGATGGATTTTTACCCTGTGCTGTGGTTTCTCAGTAATAAATCCCTTGTTTAGTCCAGAAGGCATCGCTGCTTTTGGCAGCTTTCCATGCAATTCAGTAATGAGTATTGGATAGGCACAGTTTCAGCAAATCAGCATTTAAGGGGGGAGGGGGGGGAAAGTCCCTGTAGGAGATAAGTGCATTAAAAAAAAATCTATTTAACTCAACTAGTCCCAATTCAAATTGGTAGAATACTCAGCTTTGAGAATCTTGGATTCTGTTCCTTGTAGCAGAACTTGCACATATCCTGGCCTCATAATTTAAAGGAAGGGAACCAGAATGTGGTTTGTAGTTTAAGGGTTGGAAGCTTTGTTACAGCATCCATGGAGGATAGGTGTTGATTATTATTGGCATTTTTGATTGAACTGAGTCGAAAGCTGGCTTGACTTGTTCGTGAGGTTATATCACCCATGTGCAAAACCAGTCTGAACCACAGAAGAGAAGACTCCAATGGATGAGTGGAGTTGCTGCTCTGGAGGAATAGCATAGTGGTCACAGTGCATAATAAAAGCTATCCAAAGATATCCTACCTGAAAAGCTGTGTGGATTTGGGTTTTAATAGAGGAGTTGGGAGGGAGCCTCAAGAGACAGTGGCACCAAGCACTGCTGTCAGTTGCCTTGAAGTCTGGTGTGCTGGTAAGATGGGAAGGAAGGTTGTGTCTGAGATCCTTGAAGATGAAGGAAAATGTGGGCTCTAGGGATGATGGAGCACAGTGAAAGCCAGCCTAGCTATGGCTCAGCACTGGTGTAAGTGGCAGCCTTCAACCCCACTTAACTGCTGAAGGTACTGGCAGAAAATCTGTTAGTCTAAAGCATCTACTCTGCTTGATCACATGATTCTAGCTATAGTTATTAATTGAACCAGCGTGGAGAAATCAATTTTCATCTTCCTAAATGGAAAGCACCTTCTAGGCCAGGAAACTGTTACCCATCTCTCATGCGAGCTCTACTCTTCAACTCATTGATGCTATAGTGTGAGGATACATACGCTCAGTCTTTCTCCCATTTTGTGCTTGAGCTCCTGGTTATAAAACTCACACACTAGCACAGCATTGCTTCCCAAGACTGAGCAGACTTTGCGAAGGAATTCTTAGAACAAAAAAAAAAAAAAAGGCATGGAAATGAATTAGTGAAATGCTGAGCTTCAAAGACAGCCAAAAAAGTCAGGGCATGCCAAGTGTTGCAAGGTCTGGCAGTGAGGAGGGAGCACAGGGTAAAGGAGCTATAGGAAGAGAGCACTACAGTGTTAAACAAGCACTTGTTGTGCAAACATGCTGCGTTGGGGATGACTTGCACGGAACCACTGAACTTTCATGCAAGCACCAGGGTTAAAGATACGTACTGTCACTTGCTGGATCCTCTCTACAGATTGGTCTGTACAACTTTGGTTGTTTAGGAAGCAGGTGGCAATTACGGAGCTCCTGCAGCCAGAAGGGTGGTGAAGGGACATTTAGCAGCATGGGTTGCCTTTTGTTTTTTAAAAGACCTACTGATCTGCTGGATGTCTTGGCAGCTCTTTGTGGCTATTTCCCTTCAGCAGAATGAAGTGTGCTGGGCTGGGTGTTCTGGTCCTTCATCTGCTTTCCCTGCAATGGTGCAGAGGTGCTTAGTGTTTACTAACGGACTAACCTGTGATCCCCATGGATGTGCTGTGTGTGTGCTTGCTGGGCTTGTCCCCAGCTCTGTCTGATGCTGCTTTGTCAGACACGCAGCATGAGTTGTGAACTTGAAGGATTGTTTTCTATCTGGGCTACTTGAGTGCTCTAATTCATCAAGTGTTTGCCAGGGGATCGTGGCCTTGCCTCAAAGCTGACACTGGAAGAACTATCTGAGGGTGTGCACACCAGTGTATAATTTTATGCTTTTAATCTATTTGATTTAGAAGATCATAGATCACAGAATGGTTTGCGTTGGAAGGGACCTTCAGGGTTGTCTAGTTCTTGCCTCCCCCAAGCATGGCCCAGCTGTTTCCATCCAGTGGTGCGTCTGACTTGCAGCATGTGTGTCAGATTCAGTCACTTCCACTCAAATGGAAACTAGTTTGGGGAAATACTTGCCTGTGAACACATCTGAAAGTATAATTATAGCACATAGGGAGACCTTGTGCTAGAATTGAACTGTTGCTGATAGGCAATGAAAAATGGCTGTCCTTTGAAGACTGTGCCCACCCTGTTCTCTTTGTCATGGTATCTGTTTTAAGATCAGTTTGTGGTATTCGCAGTAGTTGGCATTTCTCATCCTTGGAGCCTTTCAAGTCTCATCCCTTCAGTGCAATAACCACTTGGACTTTCTGACCTGTGCTTTAAGCTACTCTTGAGGTGTTCCAAGGAGGTAGTTTAGGGAAGAAATATGTTCATTACAGTCACTGATGCTCCATTTTTCTCTGCATATGGATACTGTAGTAATTGCACAATAGCAAGAGCTACAGATAAGATGCCCTGTGATCTTAAATGAAGCTTTTGGTGTCTGAAGTACACAAGGCTGTTGCAATGGTGCTTAGGGGTTTGTAGCTAGCCTTAAGCATATTTACCACATCCAAAGTAGGGCAGATGAATAGTTGTCACAAGAAGCCATTTTCATCTGACATACAGCCATGTACCTGCTCTGCTTTTGTCTGTTGCTTGAGACCATTTGTCAGTTCAGCACAGTTCAACTCTTGCCTTGCTTTAAGCATATATTCATGTGATACGATGTCTGTGAAAAGTTTTGCATAAATCCTGGCAAAGTCATGCCTGTAGCCACCTCCACTGCTGCTGGAGGCTCTGGCTGAGCAATCCTGCTGTCCTCGGGAGGAAAGGGTGCTACAGGCAGCGGCTCAATCGTCAGAGGTAATAAGGCTGCAAAGAGGCTTTTTTCTCTTTTGTTGGGGGTGGGAGGGAGGAATGATATTCCAAGCAACTACATTCCGTTCAGGAATGGGTCCTGGTGGCGCAGGATGCACTGATCAGTGGAGTGTGGGTCTCCTCTATCATCTTCCACTTCAGACTGGTGTGGAAGCAGTATAAATGGTGCATGGTTAAGCACTTGAGTCAGAGCTGGTCCTTTGCACTCTAAGGCTGCCTGAACAGACTGTTTTCCTACAGCCCTTGCACGTGGCTTGAAACCTGAGTCTGGTTCAGGTGTAGGTACACTTGACCATCTTGAGATTTGCCATTTGGAGATCTGGTTTCTCTGTGCCTTTTAGAGTAGTGATTCTTTCCATGCTGCCATCAGTATGCTGCTGTGTCACCTCCCAAATGCTTTTCATCTTTTCAGCTGTGCCTGCTACTTCAGCCTTGCCAAATACCTTAGATCTTTGCTACTGTTCCAGCTGATCCGTACCCCTATGGATGATTTTGCATTTCAATGTTGTAAAATTTCAAAGGGGACTTAACTTGCTTTAGCCTTACCTTCTGCTCACGACTCATCTCTGGAAGGATATCAGCTGAAGCAGTGTGAACCCTGGCAGATAATAAGGCTGCAATCAGAGAAGGCAAAAAAATGTGCTCTCCAAAATCCCTTCCGTTGTTCTCCTTTCTCTGAGGAAAAATGTGTAAATTGGCAGATGCTGAATCTAAGCCCTAGGTTTTACTCCCTCTCACCTCCCTGGGAGAATGGGAGTGATGGGCCAAGCTCCTGTTTGCTCCCTGCCTTGCTGAAAGAGTGGCATGTGTGGCCTTGTGACACAGGCCTGGGAATCCACTCATACCCAACATGTCTGCTCATCTGACACATGGTGTTCCTGTAATAAAGTTTGTGTCAAGGTAAACTGCCTGAAGAAGGGAGTTGGAGCAATACCTCCACTTGATCTTGGCAGGTCTCTACTCACTGCTTTCCTTTTTTATACTTTATAAGGGCATGTAGTAATAGGAAAAGGGGGTTGGTTTTAAACTGACACAGGGGAAACTGAGACTAGATAATAGGAAGAAGCTCTTCCCTGTCAGGGTGCTGAGGTGATGGCACTGGGTGCCCAGAGGAGCTGTGGCTTCCCCATCCCTGGCAGTGCTCAAGGCCGGGTTGGACGGGGTTTAGAGCAACCTGCTCTAGTGGAAGGTGCCCCTGCCTGTGCCAGGGAGTTGGAACTGGCACTTTAAGGTCCCTTCCAACTCAAATAATTCTATGATTCAAATAATTCTATGATACAAATAATGAACAGGGCAAGTGAGAGAGATAGTGGGCCACTCCACTCATAAATAAAATTCTCATATAGTTTGGAACACAGGCAATTGCAGCTCTATGCATTTAGTGCTAAGCTACTGAAGATTCAGGGAATCAGTAGCAAGTGCATTCGGATTTCCTCCTCTGCAGTCCTAAACTTTTCCTTCTTCCTCAGGAGTACACAGCGGTAGCATTTGCTGAAAATACTTGCTTATGAGCAGGCAATCTGCTAAAGAAAGCAAGTCTCTTCTTTGACTCTATTTACATCTTTCTCTATGTAGTGTTGTGCGAGACTGTTCTCTGTGGAGAGCTCGTGGTTTCTTTGGCAAGAGAGGACTTGACAAACGTGCAGTCCTCGTA